AATGCGACTGTAGGAACTGGTAATAGTTTCCCCTTGGCCTAATCAGGGAACGAATCCCACAAGGCCTTCGATTCTCTAGTGCGAGTTTGTTAAATTTGTGGTTTATATGACCGCTAGGATTGCAAAAGTTGACAAATGCAATAATTGCAGAGTATGTGGGTGAATCTTCCCCCCTTCTGTGATGTCCTGCCCTCATCGACTTCTCTCAACTTTACACAGTAGATCCGCTGATCGTAGCATGTCTTCCCGCACTGGATAAAAGGTTCGGTTCGTCAGGCTCGATCGGTTACGTCGGTGGTGAGTACTTAGGTCTTCTGCCGAAAGGATCCCTCAGAAATAAGGTTCAAGTAAGTACCCGACACGGAACTACATATAAGCTTCCGGCCTACTATTGTACATTGTACTCACCATACCCAAATTGGAGTCATGTCGCTAGGGCATGCCAGTTTTGATTGCCTGGGGCTTCCGGGTTTGGCTATTCAGCAAGTTACCCACGCGGCAAAGGAAGAAAAGGGAAACATGTGCACCGAAGTCCCCTAGATATGAATTTATCATGTGTGGGTCTAGTGAAGTCTTTATCTACATTCTAGCCCCATAATTATTGAAACATTCCTTGATCATTATCTACTCCCTGTTATCCACTGAAGATGCTAAAGAGTAAGGTGATTATTTATAGGGAAAGAGGGCTTTGGTATGTGACCTGAGGTCTTTTCATTTCCTTGGGTGATCGTTCACTTGTCAGATGTGCTGTCTGTACTTCGGATCGTGTGTATTTGTTCTATCTTATGCCTCATGTCGAAGTTCGATATGGACCATAAGACCATTGAGGCAGAAAGACCCGTAGTAGCTTAGCTTGCTAAGTTGCAACACTTTTGTCTCATCTCCAAAATATCTCAAAGTCATTGTTTGATTATCGACACCACTACGCATATTGTATAGCTTTCCCCATTACTAAAAACTCGTGGCCGAACATGTTGTTTACACCCTACTGTATGTTACTAAATGGATCTGGAAATCCAGCGTGCTTCATGATTAGACCCCAATCGCTGCACTGGTGACTCAAGCCAATTCCATTCGTTGTGCTGTAGTCGGAGTTGAGAGGCTCGAGAGTGTCGTCGGCGGCACAAAGGATGTCCTAATAATTGGCTGGGTCAGCTCTTACGGTTAAAGACGGGAACTTTCTGAGTATATTCTCACTTGACGTAAAAAGTCGAAGCAGTGGCCGAGATGCAAACGCATGTCAGTTGAACGATTGTCCTCAGCCTGAAACTTCAGATGGCGACTTGGGTCATTGACAAGCATCGTAAACTCTTCCCGTAGCGCAATCAGACAGTGCAATTTGTGTAACATGTCCACTCCGCGGGTCACGACTTGCCCTGAAGACTCGTCTGTCCACTTCATGTCCCACCAGTCTTTTTTGACGATGTTGTTCCATCTCGATTGCGTCGCTTGATCGAAGTGTAAGAGATCAGAATGTTGAACGAAGCGATATGAGATTTCAGGCAATTTAATGGGTGATATCGTGACAGGAAGATCCCATCGATAATGAAAAGCCAGCAAAGAAAGAACCAACACTGAGAACAGGAGTGCAGGGAGCCATGGGCCCCGAGTCTTGGGCTGGTTGGGGAGCACACTTCCGGGCGCCATGTTACAATCAATGAGTTGTTGCTTCGCCGAACTGCTTACTTTTTGCGTTTCTAAATGCCGATCGGTTGCGCATTAGTGTGTAATAGTCGTTTTCTTCTCGCAGTCAAGCGAGAATGATTATAACCGAACAGGCCTGCGGTCCGCGAGTCAGGCCGACAAACTCCCTGTAAAAGCCGGTAACAGAGGCGTAGTGTCGGTTCACTTGTCCGACCACTCGGTAACAAAAAACATTCGGATCGCAAGTCCATCTTCGGATTGCTGCTGTCATTCTTGACGTGCAGACCTCAGCCTATAGACTTGCTGTTGATAAGTTCCAAATAGCAGCGTTCAACCACCTAAGTGCTTTCGTCATGTCGCAACTTGATTGGCAGAATGCGAGCGCCCTAATTATTTTCTTTTCAACTACGTTGATCGTCTTTCTTACTGTACGTGGACCCTCGCCGCCGCTTTCGACAGACACCTATCGGCCACGAACCCCCCAGTCTCCCAAGTTTATTCTAGGAAATGCGTCGTACGCTGCCTTCGATGAGACGGCTGACCGCCTTTGGGATGCCATTATACCAGAAACAGGCGGCACGGTGCTCGCCACTAATCTTACCACCGGGCTCCATTTCTGGGCTCAACTCGCCATGTTCCACCAACTGAGCTGCCTTCGTGATGTGCGTGCACAGTTCTCCCGGGTGACGCAGTCAGCCACTGAGGCCAGCAGTTTTGTCGAAGACAGGAGCTTTAACTCGCCGTATATTAGAGTTGGCTCTTGCTTCGACTATCTACTACAGGTGCGTTTGTTGGCGGTAGCAAAACAGTATTACAGCCAAAGGTACGGTATTCTGACCTCAACTAGGGTATCCTTTGCCACGCGGATACTACTTTACATCCAGTCGCCACCGTTGGAGCTGGAGTCAATATCGTGGATGGCAACGCCCTTTGGCACATGTGTAGGGACAGCAAAGCACTTACGGACTGGGCGACATTATCTGGAACACCTCACAGAGTAGGTCTGATTCTCTTTCGATACTCTTTCCGATATCATATCTCGCCTCTTAAAGCCCGAGTACCGACTTTTGCTGAAAGCCTTGTTTCATAGGATCCATTGGTGAGGGAACAACATTTATCTAGTCGCTGAGGTCTAAATTCTTGTGTAGGACTTTCCTTGGGTTTATGTAAACATGTTGCTCTGGGCAATTGGATATGTTGGCTGGTGTATGTTATTTCCGATATCTTACAGCAGAGTCGATTTCTTTTGTCTAAATGGGTCTCTTGGAGGTTCAAGTCTACCTATAGAGATATTGCTGGTGATTGTAATTGAACTTGGCGTTTTGAGCCACGTCGGAAGTGTTCCAAGTCGTAAAACAAACCCTTCAAGGTTGATTAACCCAACAATGAGATCAGACAATACTGCATCGTAATGGAAATTCAGCTGCCTAGTTCAGAATTGATTCAGGACCCCACCTGGTCTGAAACTGGGTAGGATAGCTGTAGGCACAGACGGCCTACTGTGGCAGAGTACTGTCACAAGTATTTGCGATACAGTGTTATCCCTTGGGCTGCGGCTGGACATCGGCCCTCGTGCGGAGGACAGTCAATATGGGCATGGAAATTCATTTAGTAAGCAAATAAATATTCAAGTTTTTCCCTAATTCTCTTTTCTATGTATTTCGGCGATACCAGAGGTGCCGGCGTTCCCCACCAATACACAAGGCAGGCTACAATCCAGAAAAAACAATGTATTGATTGATGTGCGGAGTAAAACTGCGTACTAATATGGGTTTAGGTCCACTGAATTGAAGCCGCAGTCAATGGGATACTCACAGCCATGGTCAAAACCCCAAAGCTGACTCTATTAGTGCCACGATCCATTTAAAATATTCATTTTAAAGTTGTAAGGATCAAACCTATTCACCACACCTCTAAAGACTCAACTCTTTCGTAACATTCCGCAGACTTGGTCCACACGACTTCCTCTGTGTATGCGTTTCTAATTTCTGGCGTGTTTGAGTTGATCAGTCTGTCCAAGCAATGCTCTAGGTGTCCCACATCCAAAACCTTGAATCCCAATGGCTTCGCCTTTCCCACGCCGTTCTTGAAGAGCGTTTTGATGATGAATTCGCAATGCCGGAAGTGGAAATCGTCTTTTGTCCATGTACGACCTCCGCCTTCGCCTCGCCAGACAGCGTCTTGGGCAATGGGAATCGTCCGGTTCTCATCCAAGTACCAATCCCAACTGTTCTGAGTAGTGAATTGCTGGTATAGATCTTCGTCGTGACAGAGACGTGGGACCCAGCCACCGTGAACCGGGTCAAAGACGCAGTCCCGACGACGCGCGCCCTCCGGATCCTTGACGCCATTGCAATATGTAGAGTTGTAAGCGAGTCTATAACCGGGCACGTGAAGTAGCTGTTGTGCACTGCCTTGCTTTGATTGGGCATGGCCGTGATTATTACTGCCAGTAGACAAGTACGTATTTGTGATGTCACTCCCGCTGCTACTGATACCGCCATTGCTCTTGTGTGGCCCTGACTTGGCAGTGCAAGATGACTCTGCTCGTTCTGTAGCGGCCTTCCATGATAAAGATATAGTCGCCGCCCATGATATAACGAAAACAGATACGATGAAAGTGAGTAAAACTACTCTGATCCATTGAGAGCAACGTCTTTGACGGCTTCGATTGGGGTAGTTCGATTGAATGACCATCGTCTCCTCAGAATCATGATCGCTTGCGGACTCGTAGGGGACGTCCTCAAATTTCTCAGGATGAGGGGGAAGCAGAGCCTCATGCAAAGAGGATGTCATCATGGTGGTGGTGGTGATGGCGGCGTCGGTGATGGTTTCGGAAGCTTTGATATACAGCGAAGGCCCAGCAATTTGTTGGTGAAGGTATCTAGGAAGTGCATGTACTTAAACGGAACCAATGACTCTGTCTACCGGACTCTTACAAGGTTATTTAAGTCATAGAAAAGAGTTTGAGAGTAAAACATCCTTGAATAAGGTGCTTGGAACTCTTCCGGTGTTCGGTCCGGCTCTGTTGCGTCGTGTACCCGACGCTAGAAAGTCAAACTTGCCACCCTCGCGGCAATGGCCTAGTAATGATCTCCATGGGACCGGCCCCAAACATCAGGAACTAGGCCACAAGACAGGTTCATTTCACAGTGACCACACCGAAGCCAGTGAAAGGAAAAGGATACGAAAACATGGGGTAGTTTACCAATTTAGGCAGGCTACGTCGTTTATCATATTAGCACAGAATTGATGCCCCTGAATAGACTGTAATTAACATCACCAAACCCAAGAGCATGCATCCTGCGGCATTAATTCCCATAATTCAGACGTGTATCAGTATTATACACAAGTTATTAAAGCTCTGTGAGATACTCTATGGAAACTGAATGGCCATCCAATGCTACACTTGTGCGCGTCATGTTATTCTGTCTAATGTAGAAGGGCTGGTTTGTATCAGGGCCAACCACCTCGTCCGTGCTCGTATGTGCCTTGCAATCTCTCAATTCGATGATACCAAAATCGCCAAAAGGAACGTTGCCGCCCTCACTGAGAGCAAAGTCTTCTACAATCCATTCGACGCTGTGGCCTGCCAGAACGGAGTCTGGACGAGGTGCTTGCAAAGTTCGCGCCACCCATTCGCCCCTCGATTTGTTCCACAGTAGGATCTTTCCCGATGTCCCGTTGAACATGACCACCTCAACTTCAACCTCGTCCCCCCCTCTAATGGAAATGTCCAGCTTCATCGCGATATTAGGCCACCATTCATACCACGGAACGTATGCAACCTCATCGGAAATGGACTTGTTAATCTCCACCGTCACTCCGGTCTGTAGAAGAGCATTGCCGTGTGTTAAGCCGTCAATACCAACCCAGACGCTGGCCGCGTAGTAGTCTGTCTCTTTCATAGTAACGTCAGGGCCGAGTGTCTTGGGTACAGTGAACTTCATTCCGGCTGCTGCGAAATAGCCCGAAGGGGGAGCCGAGTTGACGGCACCGGACCAATTCTTGCTGTATCGAATTTTGTTCTCGGAAGATGTTTTGTTGCTTCCAGCTATTAATGGCGCTGCTGGACCTACATGGGGTTTGGGTGCGAGTGATAACATAGCAGCGTCTGAAGTTTGATTGACGGGAGAAGCAACGGATGGGTTTCTGATCGGATCGATAAACGAGACAGAAACCATAATTATTAGGGATGCGGCTGCCAGAAGGACGCGTATGCAGGCCATGATTGTGACTCAGAGCGAATTTCAAACTCGTATGTTGGTCGCTAGTAAGGCAAAAAGGATTGACGTCCCTTGCGAGGACAAACTATCTCGTTATAAATGGTGAACCACGCAAGCCTAGAAATTATAAACGCTGATGGTAATGTTGTACAGAGGGTGGTGCTTTAGATACCAGTAAACTAAGCTCTCCCACATTCACTACTGTGCCGGGGTACACCCGGCCGGGCACGCTGGACTGTGTAGGTTGCGTATCCGAGTTTGCGGCGGCCGCATCCCTGCCCTCGCCTCAGTTGACTCAGGTGTGCAACTCCGCAGGCACAGGGGACTGAATGGGTATAATGGCATGTACAAACACACATTGCTACTTGGAATTGATAACTCGCTACAGAATTACAGAAGCAATCTGAAGGCAAATATATCGAGTTCGATGACTGCCGGGAACATTGATAATAACGCCCATCACGGTGAATTGGTTCTCGGGTTGTGTTGATCGGCACTACATTCCAAGAGCAAAATGAGAAGCCGGTTTTCACTCTGAAATAGCAGAAAAGAGAATAAAGAATGACACATACTTTTCGTATAGGCTTGTCTGTATGTGACTAGAACACAAAAAGTGTGCAAACCGAACAAGATTGATAATTGGCACAAAGTTGAGTTGATATACAAGTGAAACTCTCTCGAAAACTGCTCCCGGGGAGGGGTTTATTTTATTTCATTATTTTATTTTACAGTGATAGTAATGGGTTCTGAGCGAAACAACACGGAACCAGTACGGAATCGAGTTTGCCTGAATCTCATCCAGACTGCTGGTGGAAGACTGCCACATAAAACGTCTACCAAGCCAACGCTTTAGGTGAACTGGGTTTGACAGGCCATAGTTATTATTAAGACGAGTGGGTGGCATAGTGGCTGATGGTAGGCAAAATTTTCTTGAGCCAGTATAACGAAGAATCAATCTGAATTTGATATTCTAATCTTAACGCGGTACAGGCTTGATTCTTGAGACAAAATCCTCGGAATATCGTCAGGCGTGTGTGCATTTGACATTTATCATGCCATCACTCAAGCCTTTGGCTCAGCTTCCTCCTCAGGGTACTGTACCAAATACTTTCGCTTTGCAAGTCCCTCTTTGGCCACTGCTTCCTCTTCGGGGTACTGCACGAGATACTTCCGCTTGGTAAGTCCTTTGGTGGACTCCGCTTCCTCCTCGGGATACTGAACAAGATATTTGCGCTTCATGAGGCCTTCCTCAGATTGAGCTTCTTCCTCAGGGTACTGCACCAAATACTTTCGCTTGGCAAGTCCCTCTTTGGCCACTGCTTCCTCTTCGGGGTACTGCACCAGATACTTCCGCTTGTTTAGGACCTCCTTAGACCCAGCTTCTTCTTCCGGGTATTGGACAAGATATTTGCGCTTGGCCAGGTCCTGGCCAGCAGGAAATGAAGCACCGCTGAGCACGTTTAGCCAGTCTTCCAAAATCATGGTGATTCTGCTGGATTTCTCACCTCCCATCGGATGGCGTAGGAAGTGCAGCGACAAAGGCCGCCACTGAGGCCAAGGCAAGGATCTTCTTGGTGGAAACCATTTTGGTAGAGCTGGTATAGTATTTTTGAAGAGAAGAGATGAAGTAGAAAAAGTATAATACAAAGGCGTATACACTGAGTATTGCAAGTCTGGAGAAAATAAGCCTGGGTAGTGGCTCATCAGGAAGTACAAATACTCGCCAATGAAAGCGTATGAAGCATCCAGAGTCCCCTCCACCAATGTGTCAGTTAACCGAGGGAGCTGATGTTCAGCTTTAGCACCTATGTTAGCGACAATCGCAAATTGATATCCGGTCCGAACGTTCAATGCTCCTTTACTAGAGCGATTTTCATCGGCTCGGGGCCGGTCTGACACGTGTGGACTGTTGCTAGGTGCTGAGCCCGGATCCAAGACCCACGTAGTACCGGCACATCTCGTTTCTAATTCCCGAAATGCTGCCGGCAACTTTTTGTCCCATTTCCCCCAAGGAAAAGTTCTGCCGGGAATTGTAACGGTCGATCATGCTCACAGCCCTTCCTGTACTGTTAGCTGCTTAATCTCCAACATTCCATCTGAGCTCCTCAGTCACTCAGTACCTCAGAGAACACCTGAACACACCGGGTTTCACCGATAGACCCCGCACTAGCTGCTTGTTCTATTCTCATCTGCGTGATACTCTTTCCAAACAGCAATACCACACTATGGACAGTCCCAGCTTCCATCAACGTTACCAAAGTGATAGTGAGACACTATCAGGCCGCAGGCGGCTACTGAACTCAAGATACCAAACGGTTCACAGAAGTCGACGATCATCCCTCTTATGGATCACAGGAATAGGTCTCTCTGCCATCACTATATTTCAATGCGTTTTGGCGTGGAAAATCTTGTCACGGTTCGGCTCTGCTGATCTTCTCGGTGAAGTAAACGGGCTTTTCCCGCATGGTATATCATCTTTAACAGTGTTGAACCGCGAAGGCGTACAGTTATCTAACAGATTTTAGTTGGTACAAGAATCGTACGGTTTAATGAGAAACCTGGATTTCACGCACTTAATATGTCCGATCCTGAGTGGGAAAGAGTTATGCCTCGTATGTCCGCTAGATATGAATATTATCTTGACCAGGACGGCTGATTATACCGACAGGTGGAGGTGGCTTTGTAAAAGTACCTGACTGGAAAAAGGAAGGAATCACTCTTCCGAGCCCAATCATGGCAAAAGGGCAGATTGTCTATAACGTTGCTGTCTTCCACCAGTTGCATTGTCTGCACGCCTTAGGTGTGGAATTCAACAACCTTATATCAGCTGCTCAGCAAGACCATTCCACTCTCGTAGGCTACGATCAGCTTGAGCACATAGAGCACTGTTTGGCGTATCTAAAGCAGTCGCTCGAATGTTCCGCAGTACGTCACGCTTATCCCCCTAACTTCTGTGATCGATTTATACTTAGAATACTAAACTACACATTTCAGGATGCCGCCTTCGAGGGGCAGTCAATCATAAGTGATCTTCCCTCGACGAGTGGATTTGGGTCATATCATGTGTGTAGAGATTTTGACCAGATCATGGCACTGAGTGAACAAAACCGGGCGACGGATATGTCGGGCTACGGCCAGAGCCAAGATCATCGGCATGTATAGATATATTTGTAAACGGCTTTTATCAATGCACGAGAAGTAGAACTCGGTACAAGTCCAGCATCCCATTAGCTACTGCAAGACGCCATGCGGGGTACGGCAAATAAGAATTTGTGCACACAACTCGTCTCCCCAAAGAAGATCAACTATTATAGGCGAAATTGGAGATTTTATGGAACTGTTCTTTTTTGGCGTCTTGCCGCAGTCAATGGTACATGCTACTCTAGCTAAATGATTCCCACAGAGGTAATGTTCGCTCACTTTAGCCACTGACCCAGGAGATCGACGACGCCTCGGGACCAAGCGACCTTCTGTTAGAACGGCTGGCCTAACTTCCCACGGCAATGCGCGCGTACATCTTAGTTGATTGGTTATTTACATGACAAAGACCGACACAATCTCGGTCATCATTAGTAGTACTGTTAATGAACAGCGTACATACACGTTGCAATTATCCTCATAAACAAGCTCAGAAACGTAACCAAAAACGCAACAGACGTGTTGGTTTAGGGCGAGGTAAACGCACTCTGATGATCCCTGCGACGAATTGGATGGGTAAAATCCTTGACCCTGGGCTCTGAGTCGAGGATGAGGTCCGCACCGACGACAATAACTCGATAGCCCGTAAACTTTAACGGAGTTCGCAAATTCGGAAGTCTAAGTCAAACTTTATCTAGCTGTCGGAAGTCTAATGCTAGCCGGGTCTAGAGAGCGATTTTACAGAGTGACATATCCGGCTAAAACATGACCTCGGTTAGTTATGCGGATGGACACCCCAGCGAACTTGCACAAGTTCGTTTTATGAATCAAACCATAATTTCGATGGAGTGATAGGTGATTACAGCGAGGTCAGCCGAAGGGCAATGTGCTATGCGGCGAAGCAAAGCCCCTGTTGGCGCTTCTGGTGTTAGTCTAGTGTTAGATACGTAAGAAAAGGGCTGGTATGCCACATAGTATAACATTGACCAAACGTAGCATTATCCACTGGCTTTCTGAGTAAGGCATTTTACTAGTCTCAATTTTCTCAACGGTATTTTCTCAACATGGCTTTCGACGACAAATATCACGACGAAAAAGCGCGTTTGTCGATTGAAGATAATTCTGAGGATGAGGAAAGCCCCTCGCTCGGACGCAACATTTCCAGGAAACGTAACAGGCAAGTGCCATTATGGGCATTTGTTACCTCGATCTTCCTTACCCTCATACTTGCGGTAGCTCTGTCTTATACCACCCTGCGCCTTAACAAACAGACGCGAGGCTCAGGCTACGACTTTGATGGCTATGTTTGTGCCCCTGATGAGGCAGATCCAGAGGAAGCCATATCGCGCGGCTGCGCATTCGACACCTTCACCATGCAATGGTATCCGCGCGATCGCTACTCCAGGAACGAATCGGTTGAGCTTATGAGAAAATTCACCGACATGGGTTGGCCGCGCTACTTTGACAAGGAGGGCACTCGCCCCATACAGGACCTGGAAAGGGCACCAAAGTCCATCTACATTCTGATGAAGGAGCATTTATGGCACTGCGGCTACTCCATCATGCAAACGCACCTCTGGATCACCCTAGGCATGGATCCTCCTGAAGCATATGAACACACAGAGCACTGTGTTATGAGCCTACTTGATGTGATTGAGAAGAATCCTCCTCCTGGCTTCAACGATATAAAGTTCAATACCAGAACATCATTGGAGCCCTCTGAATATGGAAATGTATGTATGGTCTGATACACTCGCGGCAGTAATTACTACAACACTCTACGCGACACCACTAACTTTCACTTTACCCACAGGTCAGGCCTTATTACCCCTGTGCTGAGAAGGGTTTCGCATGCCGCTCTGATCCTTGAGTTACGATCTAACATCTCAATAAACATGGCTAAGATTGTCAATACTTGTTCGAAGATATCTTACAGGTGGATCTAGGTGAAGGCCGTCCCTTTCGTTGTATCTTAGAGGACTTAGGCCTGATAAATTAAACTGAATCAGTGAGAATTACTGATTCTCGTCGCTCACCTCAAACTTCTGCATTTGGATTCAAGTGATTCATTGGAAGAAATTCTTTAAGATCTCTTACGCACTTTCCGGGGATGATAGATTTGATCAAACTAGCCGTCAGGAAATCTATGTTTATGACAATAACTGGGATGTCTTACTAACTTTGTGCAAAGGAACAAAAACAAGCAGTCTTTTTACTTCTCCTGATTTTATGCTCTCGAACTAGGTAAAATTCCGTCCATGTTCGCCTTGGATTACTCAATACCCTTACTAAGTTTGCAATCTTAGTCCATCAGGGTTGGGCTGTCCCTTGATATGTTCTTTCAGCCTCCGCACATCTGTATCTTATAGCTACGGCAAGGAGCCTCTGCAATATCATGCTATTCAGGTTGACAAATCGGGATTAAGAATTTCCAGACTAGTAACTCACGTTACTAATATTCTTTTTCGAAGAGTCCTGCAAGATGAGAGGCTTTTCTCTCCAGGAGATCCTCAACCTTTCCCGTTTCAACTATACGCCCATTTTCCATGACAAATGCCCTTGTAAAGTATCGTATGTTCCGCAGACGATGTGTGACAGCAATAACAGTGTATCCGGCAAACTCTTGTCTGATCACTGCATCTACATTGTTTGCCGTCTCTTCATCCAAGTGGGCGGAGACTTCATCAAGGAGAACAAGGCCTCCTTCGTCGCCCCCGGAGCAATCCAAGACAACTCTCATCCGTTTCCGAAGAACGCATCTCGCAAGACAAAACAATTGCTTTTGACCTTCGCTTAGGGTACCTGGTACGAATTCCGTATCGAGACTCGGCATAGCTGAGAGAAGGCCTACAGTGTTCAAAGCATCTTTACAGGCTTGATCTGAAGCCTTTCCAGACTGATCCAGGTTTTGACGGATCGAAGTACCACCCACGAGGAAGACAGGATCCTGCGGCATGGCAATTATGTGGTCTCTGAGATCATTTCGCTTGACCTGATCAATACAAACATTGTCAATAGTTATCTTGTTTGCACATTCTGAAGCAGGGTCAAGAAGCCCAAGTAAGAGCATGAGAATGGAACTCTTGCCGCTTTCAAATAGTCAGCTTGGGTTTCAAAACACCTCATACTTTGGGAAAATTGAGTATGGAAAAGAATTGGTAGGATTCCTCAAGTCGGTAACTTGCAACGTACCTTCCTGTTCTTCCACAAATAGCAATCTTGTCTCTGGGGGAAATCGACATGAATATTTCTTCCAGTGCAAAAGTAGAGGTCGATGTCGTGCCATACCCCGCAGATACCCCAGCTACCTCAACTGCTCCTTTCCTTGGCCAATTTGTGTCTAAAACGATTGGATGCTTTGGCTCAAGCTCGTGCGGTGTGTTTTCGGCAAAATTCTTTACTCGGCCGATGGCACCCAGGGCAATCTCAAGCATAGTGTAGGCACGAATGCCATCCGCCAGATTTCTTCCGAAAGAGATGAGAGTGACAAGTCCGACGCCGACAGTGCCCGATCCAAGATGAAGGATGGTGGCGAGAGAAACCATAATAACAGCAAGAACTACCATAACCAGGTTGATAACCAGAAGGAGCCATTGTTGGGTAATACCCAGGAGGTAGCTCGGCTGATTTGACTTATCAAGTAGTACATGGTTCCGTTTGATTTCGTCCTCTGTCCAACCAAAAGCTCGTATGGTGGTCAGGCCGCCCAATGTGCTCAACATATGTGTACTGAGTCATACATTGTTAGCAATTGTAGTTTTCTTCTGTAAAGGTAAACGCCTAGATGAAAGCACTCACACTATAGGTCCCTTTGCTTCAAGGTCGAGAACTCTCAGCCGCAAAGCGGTTGGCACATACATCTTTCGGACGAAGTAGAAAACTAAAGCAAGACCAGGGTAGCCTATGGCAAGCCAGGCCGACGAAACCACAAGTAACACAGTTTGGCCGACTGTAATAACCACAGCGCTTGTGAGGTTGATCAAAGAGCCCGCCAGCATACCATCAATGATGCTCAAGTCTTGAGAGAAAAGAGTAAGGATATTGCCACTAGAAGTCTCATTCAGAAACCGCATCGACGCTGACACGACCGTCTGTAGTGTTTGTTTATGAATAGCAGCCCCTGAGTTGCGGACGAACGCAACTAGCACCACAATACCTACCATGAAACTAAACAAGAGACAGCTGCCAGCCAAAAAAGCATAAATACCCATATACCAGGCAAAGGAATGTTGCAACGGCGCAGATGAGTTGTCGCGTGTCCACTTCTCTAACCAGACCGTGGGATACGTTGTGCTGACGCCAAAAGCAGAGGCAGTGAATACAAACAAGAGGAAATAAGGCCATCCGATTTTCGAAAAGTAGTGAAGCCAAGATCCGCTGTCAGAGGCCACTTGCGGTGGCTTTTGGGTTGTTTCTTCATGGGGAGAGCCGGACGGTGTGCCTCGAGGTACGCGTAGGGCTGGATTCTCTTCGCCAAGATGAAGCTCGGGATCTTCATTTCCATCCCCGGTTGAGCTCACTTCCACTGAAATTTTTTCCAAAACTATTGGGGTTTCAGCATATGAGCTTTCGATTGAAAAGTCGCTTGCTGGTGTTGTTGGAGGCATTGTGTTGATTTTGGCTGTGAGCAAGCCTTCGGCCTCAACGTTTATGTGCATATCTGCTATGCTGACGAACATATTAGAACTGGTGCACAATATTACTGTAGTTCCACGACGCCTTAGTAGACCCCTAGGGCCAAAAACGCGGTGAAATACAAAGGATTCCGTCTCCTTGTCAAGACCACTCAATACGTCGTCTGCAATAACGAGGTCGACATTCTGGTAGAGTGCACGCGCAAGTGCCACGCGTTGTTTTTGCCCACCGCTGAGAGTCTCTCCACGGCCCTCGAGCTTTGTTGCGTCGCCCTCGGGAAGTTGTTCGAGGTCTGCGACAAGGCAAGTAGCGGCTAACGTTCTTTCGTATCGTTTCTGGTTGAAAGGTGCGTCCGCGAGAATGTTTGCGCGAATCGTATCTCGAGGGAGATATGGAACTTGGGCACAGTACGCAGAACGATAACTACCGACGGCAACCGTACCGCTCACGGTAGCAACCTCGCCCATTATCGCTTGCAAAAGTGTGGTTTTTCCAGACCCTACTGGTCCTGTGACAACAGCAAAGCAGGACGTAGGGATTTCAATATTGACGTCGCGCAGAACAGGCAGTGCCTCCACTGACCATCCAAAAGATGCATTTCGTATTTTAACAGCGTTGGTAGTGTGTCTTTCTCCTTTCTCGTCGACCGATTGCGTGCAAATCCGCTTGTCCAGAAGAGGCCCCGGTAGCCGATAGTCGGCATGACAAGAGGTCAAGAGAAACTCTTGTATGCGTTGCAAGTTCACCAAACTGCCCAAGACAATAGGAACAACTTGGATGAAAACTCCCAGAGGTTGTGTCATGATAGCCAGATAACTGAGTGTCGTAAAGGCCCTCGTCGCGTCTAGAAGACGCGGCCCCGTCGCGAAAACAATTACGGGCGAAATTGTAGCAGGACAAAGGGATACCGTCGCCGACAGGGCCAACATCATTCTGAAGTAGCCTCCGCAGCGCAATTCGTCGGCTCGGGCGTTTTGTAACAGAGGCACGTTAGCGGGGGCTAAGCCGGTCATCCTGAGGCTCTTGATGGAGGATAAGAGATCACTTGTTTTGCTGATGCGACTCTGCATGGACTTCATCCACCCTCGCTGCCGTGCCACCACCCTTGGAGATAACGCGGTTACTGCTGCACAGCTAATAGCGATGATGCCGATTGCTCCCAAAGATGATGGGCCAACTTCGCGGTAAGCCAGCCAGACCGCAAAAGCTGTTTGGATTGGGACGGCCCAGAGTTCATGGGCATTGCGCAGTCCATTATAGATACCTTCCACATCTGCCGTTACCAGTGTGAGCACCTTTTTCTGGTCGCTCTCAGATTTCGGGGACATCCTGGTCGCGTGGAGATAGACATTTTGGATAAGGTAACCTCGGAGTTGCGTTAGGGCGCGTTCGTGGAGATACCCAAAGAAGGAAGTTGACATGGCAATGCCCAGGTAAACCAGGAATGTAGCCCCTATTAATCCGTACTTCGTGTTGGTGTTGGACTGTTGCCGCTCATCAGAGAGATAGTCAAGGGTTCTTCGGACAAGGAGAGACTGGGCTAAAGTGAAACCGCTCAGAGCTAAACGTGGTATAACGGGCAAGAAAGCTTGAAAACCCAAACCCCGAGCGACTAATACAAATGCTGCACTTATACTTGGCTTCGATGATGATGTTGCAGTTTGCTGATGAACCAGATCCGGCTTCTTGGTTTCCTCCCGAAAGGTGCACGTCAGCGCAGAGTGCAAAGGATAAAGATCTCCAAGCTGCAGCGTTTTCTGAGAACCGAGACGAAGCAGGTTGTTTAGCCACCACATGAGTCCCAAACTGAAGATACCCGCTGATTCTTCAGGACTGGCTAACTTGGCGTCTGTGATGTTTTTCACTGGCTGCAATTTCTGTCGAGACTCGAGAGCCAAGAGAGACACCTTGAAAAAAAGATAAATGGTGAATAATATAGCTGCAGCTCTCATACTAGTGTCATGATATAGTGTGAGCAGCCACAAAGTGCGACATCGGACTGCATCGAACAAGATTGTAAGAGTAAGAAAAAGGCACAACCACAGTGAGGGCCGGTGCGATCGACGATGCTCAAGCCAAGAAAGCGGAGCCATCAAGATGGTTGCCATGAGGTCGAGTAAGGCAGAAGCAATTGCCAAATCCTTGGGTGCCGTGGTCCGGATCTCAGCCGTGACGATGAGAAGGGAGAACTTGATACATGCCAATAGAATGACATTAGCCTTTTCCTAGAGTATTAGTTGACTGTATCAAGATCGGCTGAACTAGAGGAGCATGTCACCCCTTACCTGCTTGCTGTAAAAGGCGGCGGCCCCTTGGTAGCTTCCTTCATGTCGAGGCCGGCGGTAGTAAAGCTGAGCAGAGCGCCATAAGGCGACGAACACAAAGAGACATGCGGGAAGAATTGACAGGATCGACAACTCGAACGTGAGCGTAAAGTCAAAGTCGCCGCGACAACCAGTTACAATAGGACCGAGTTTGCTGTCTTGTTCGCATTGCTGCATTATAACAATATTAGAAGGTATCAGTGTTTGTGAGTGCTTCATACAAGACCGCCGAAAATTTATCAATCCGAAGGCGTTATGGTCAGACTGTGTGGTGTTTGTAAAAAAAGAAACTGATTGGAAAGCAAATTGATTTTTAGGTTAACACTGCGCTCTTTGGAATCATCTGGCGTTGCTTTACTGATGCTCTTGCTTAAACTAGTGTTGAAATGACATAGTCAACTCATCGATATCTTAAACTTGACATGATTTTGTGCTCTGATGATTACATTCGCAATTTGATAGTCTCTTAGTGGATGAATAAGCAGAGATAAACTTTGTCCACAGTCTATTCCCGAAAATAGCCGGGTCGGTAGGCAACTGATTCGTATGATGGGAAGCGGGTGGATGGGAGGGAAATAGACTTCGTCGGTAAGCAACCGGAAGCTTGTTTCTTGCACTGTCCAATGGGGTTCCTACTCAGTCCGAAAGATGAGGAATTTCGAAATCCCAGCAAGTTCATACCCACTTGCTTTGATCAAAGTCTGGCGAGATGAGTCTGCCTTGGTCAACAGTCTTGCATCAACATGAATAGCGGATCTTACCACTTTGGGTAGCATCCGGGCGACATCCGAGACATCTTATCCGGGCTGGCCGCAATGGCTCTTCAAACATGACGCTGTGGCCAAATCGAGTTACAGTTTCGAGAGTCAGATAAGCAGAGGGCAACTCCTAACTTGCGTGTAATAATTTCGCTCTACTCAAATCATATCATTCCATTCGTGGCACGATGAACACTCGCAAGTTTGGTTATATCACTGATGCCGCCCGGAACTTTCTAATATGTAAAGGAGCCTGGCTTCGCCAAAGGCTCACTTCCTCCTTACCTGCTACGGCGAGGGAAAATAAAATCGAATACGACACATTAAGCAAGGAGGATCATGACTCAGACGATGCGTTGCCTGAGCTGTCCCAACCCTCAGCAACATTGAAATGTTTGCTACTTGGCATTTCCGAGCGGCTGTTTTGGATGGCATTAAGTGCGATTCTTCTTGCAGCTGTCTTGATCCAACATTACAGCATTGGCATATACTCGTATGAGTCTGGTTTCTCCACAGATCTGGGTGCGTTTATTGCATTGGCGCTATCCGAGTTCCGCGAAGTCACTGCGAAGTCTCTCTAATAGGATTGAAACTGACCAAGTAATACCCATTCAGGTGTCGCAACACCACATATTGCACTACGAGAAACTGTATATACTGGAGGTGTTGTTCGTAACAATGAAGGGAATCTGGTGCTAGACCATACCGGAGCATCAGTCGTTTATGTAGGCGAGCCTTCACCAGAATTGGATGCTAGATGGGATCGATTGGAATCAGGTTCGCGTGAAAACTCTCTGCTTTGTATTAGGAACATCTTAGAGACCGTATGCTAACAGCAGTACCTAGCTATTGAGATTACCCTTGCAAGCAGAGATGCGAAAACAAAGGGAGGCAAAAAGCTCGATACAATGGAGT